ATGCAGTCAGCAGCTTTACTCTGCCCAACAACTGCCTGCATTAGTGTTTGTTTACAGACTCTCAGGCCATTGCAGTGTTCCAGACACCTAGTTCCACCAATGGTAACCACAGCAATTATTTATCCAAGTTTTCCATCCTTGGGGAGAATAACTATGGGAGTCTCTTGCCTCACGAATACCCAAAATATAAATCAAGGTGACATATTAAAGCTATAATACAGGCCTCACTTTATCCACATTGAGATGCCAGATGTTAAGGGTGACCATTTCAGTTCTAAAAATATACAATGTTGAGCTCTTGAACAAGGTGTTCAATGGAACTTTCCCCACCCCTGTCTGTCTCAGGCTACAAGCCTCATAGAGTTCTCTTACTCAAGCATACTCAAGAAAGATAAATTTTAGTTAAATGAAATATGACGTTTTTTATCAGCAGTCAAACTTAAGGATGACCGGTAATAGTCTGATTCCAATTTTGACGTTTGACAGTCAAAAACGTGCATGCCCACCTTTCACTCCCACTCCACCTTTGCAACAGCTGATAAAATCCCAGGGCTCCCTTTGGTACTGGCAGGAAGTTCAGACCATGTAAGCCCAGCCCACAGGTGTGAATCCTCACCTCAGCCCCACTCCCTGATCACAGTAAAAGCCAAACCGGTATCTTTCCTCTTTCTCCAGCCACTTTTAGATCAGCTTGGGAGCTTGCCCTGTGTCCCTCAGAAGCAACTCTCAATATGTGAGCAATAGACCTTTGCAGACCTTCTCAGACTTCATATGGGGTCATCAGTCTTGATATTCAAAGCAAATTTGGGGTGGAATGACCCTAACATACTTTCTCCTAAACCCCAGTTAATACCTCAACAGTGGGCTCATCAAAGCTAGGCTCTGGGATTATTGGAGCTACCCTGATAGAATCTTGTAATATCCATTGTAATTTGAATTTACAGAAAATTGGAGAATTTGAAATTCTCTATTGCAGAGGGCATTGTCAACTGAGAATTCAGCTGTCTTTTTTCTGTCTCAGATTAACTATTTGTGTATGTACTTTTCATCTGTCAATTCCAGAAAAAAATTGAAGGAGAGCCCACACCCATGTAGAACCACAATTCTTATTTTCTTCCCAGCCTGTTTAACTATGTTGCTGCAGAAACAACTATGTTACTATATTAGGCTTCATCATGAAATAAACTAACATGTTTAAAACTGGAGGTATTCTGAGCTGGGTGTCCCAAACATTCCTAAACAGTTCTGAGACTGGAATTTGAATGACTCAGAGGTTCAGGACTGAACTTTCTTTTCTCTCAATCTGGCACATCACTTACTTCTGTTCCAAGGATTTTGTTTTTCTAATACTCGTTAAATGCATAGATTTGTTTCTCAGTGCAGAATTTTTTTCATTAAAAATCTAGATAAAAAACATAAACTACATGGATGCATATTTATATATTGTCTATATTACAGTTATATAAGCTGCATTTATTTAATCCTGTACCAAGTTGCCAGATACATTTTTAGTGCATTGGGGAAATATGTGGTTTCTTAGCATCTGATCTGATAGATTTTCCTTTCCAGCCTTACTGGAATCTCTTGGGTGCCGCTATAAAGGGTTTGGAGAAAAGATATTCATTCCTTTTGAATTTGTTCAGAAGAATTAAAAACTATTTTTGAGTTTGAGCATCAAGAACTTCTACCTCATTTCAAAACTGAAAAAAGTCATGAATTATATTTGAAGTTAACAATTCACATAAATGTTTTTCTATCTGAAAACATGAATTCCAGAGAGATATTTTTATATTATTTTAAATGACTACTGTATTAATTGACTCATATGAAAAGATATCAAAAAGTGTTGCACTAATTTGCCACTGAGAAAAAGTACGAATATATATGATAAAAAGGAATCCAAGCCATGGAGAGAGAGAAAACAATTATAAAAAATAGCTACACAAAGACAAAACACTAGCAGATTATTTTCTTGTTCTGATGCAAAAGACATATTAAATCTCATTATTTGGATGTGGTTGTTTTTCCATCATTGAAACATTTCTTGAACACCATCCTGTGTCAGGCATTGTGCTAAGTGCCGTGGAATTGTGTAAGATGGAACCTCTAAGTGTATAAATGGAACAACCTTCAGTTGTTCAAATCAAGTAAGAAAGAAAAGATTATTAAGACACAAGTGTTATAAATTTATATTAGTGCTTTAGCATACAAGACTACAACATTTAATTCTGATTAGTCAGTGTTTCAAGGTTATGGGCTGAGTGCAAAGAAGGTGAGGCATGAGAATGGGTTAAAGAGTACATCAAACTACACGATCACCTCAACTGATGAAATACCCCTTTATGATACAAAAAACATTCAATAAACTAAGAATAGAAAGGAACTTACTCCAAATGAAAAAGGCCATTTATGAAAAACCCACAAACATACTCAATGGTTAAAAACTGAAAGCTCTTCCCCTAAGATCAGAATAAGACAAGGAAGTTCACTTCACTACTTCAATTCATTACAGTACTGGAAATTAGAGCCAGGGCAATTAGGCAAGACAAAAAAAAAAGTCCAAATCAAAAGCAAGAAGTAAAATTATCTCTGCTTACAAATGACAAAATCTTCCAGCTCTAAAACCCTAAAGAATCCATTTTCTTAAAAACTGTTAGTGCAAATCAATAAATTCAGCAGTTTCAAGATACAAAATCAACAGGCAAAAATCAGTTGTATTTCTACACACTAGCAATGAACATCCAAAAAGAAAATGAATTGGAAAAAAAATCCATTTACTATAGCAAACAATGGAGTAAAACACTTAGGAATAAAGGAAACACACAACTTGTATGCACAAAACTATGAAACAGTTCTTTCAAAACTAAAGACCGAAACAAAATTTAAGATCTCTTGTGCATGGATTGGAAGACTTAATTGACTGAAGGGATGAATTATGACCCTTAATGGGAAAATAATTCAGAATTTTTTATACTAATATGGCAAAGATAAAGCATGACATAGTGTGGATTTCAAATAAAATGTTACTATGAAAATGGTAATGATTTCATTTCCCATTTTATCTAAGAATGACTAAGAGAAATACAATAAATTTTATAGAAAAAAAGGAGCATGTTTATACATAAATGAAGGTCTAAAGGCAAAGACTAGTACTGAAGTACTGAAATATGATACAAAGGCTATTTTTTGCTGATTTTTACAAATTTTTGATTATTATAGGTTAAGTGTAAAAACATGTAGCAAAATTATCTCCGCTCTCCTTCCACAGCTAAACTTCAAGAAGTCTACATACCACTTCCTTTGAAAATAAGACTAGTAACAATTTTTAAGTCATGTAGAAAACTGGTGACATTTACTCAGAATGTAAGAAATTACTCAGAATTTAAGAAATAAGCAGCATTCATAACATAATTGGACTGTTGTTAATCATGATTTGGACAAAATACAAGGGGGCACTAGATCAGTCCTTTATGCTACCTGATATTTTAACTGTACTAAAAATAAAGGAGCTTTTCAAGTTTTTTTTTTTTAAAGGTCTATACCCATATTCCTCATGTCCTTAGTTTACATTTATTCCTCAATCTGCTTTGTTTGTCTGCCCAGATTCTAAGAGTGAAGGGACTGCTGTTAAGGCCAGGAGGCCAATATGTGACTAAACTATCTCCCGTGAACTCTGTTGGGTTGGCACGCTTCGACGGCCCATCCTTCTTGAAATCTCTTTCTCTGCTCTCTGACACGACACTCTCTGACATCTCCTTTGCTGGCTTATTCTCCTCTGTGGTTGCTGTTGTTCAGTTGCTAAGTTTTGTCCAACTCTTTTGCAACCCCATGGACTGTACCCTGCCAGGCTCCTGTGTCCATGGGATTTCCCAGGCAAGAATACTGGAGTGGACTGGCATTTCCTTCTCCAGGGGATCTTCTCGACCTAAGAATCAAACCCACATCTCCTGCATTGGCAGAGCCATTCCACTGAGCCATCAGGGAAAACTTATTCTCCTCTACCCAGCCACTAATTGGTAAATTTCTCAAGAGTTGGTCATAGCCTTTCTTCTCTTCTCATTCTATTTTCTTCGAGAAGAGCTCACCACATCTATGACTTCAATTTCTAACTACGGTCTCTTCCAGTGATCCCCTCCCCCTCAACCCTTTACGTCAATCTCTAGGTTAGACCTTGTCTTCAGATCACAAGCACAAATAACCAAATGTTCGTCAACCTCTCAATGTGAATGTCCCAAATATTTCTCAAACACGTCCAAATAACTGCCTTCTTAATCAAACATCATCCTCTTCCACTGATCCTATCTCAGTGAAATTATCATATCATACAAATGTACAACAGAAACTTAGTCACATTCTTAACATTTACCTTTTATTAAACCCCTATGCAGTCCTCGGTGTTCATTGGAAGGACTGATGCTGAAGCTGAAACTCCAGTACTTTGGCCACCTCATGCGAAGAGTTGACTCATTGGAAAAGACCCTGATGCTGGGAGGGATTGGGGGCAGGAGGAGAAGGGGACGACAGAGGATGAGATGGCTGGATGGCATCACCGACTCGATGGACATGAGTTTGAGTAAACTCNGTGATGGACAGGGAGGCCTGGTGTGCCGCGATCCACGGGGTCGCAAAGAGTTGGACACGACTGAGCAACTAAACTGAACTGAACTGAAACCCCTATATTCATTTCTTCACCAAAGAATGCCCGTTATTACCTTCTAAATCTTTGTTAGATCTCTGTTTTTCTTTCTACCTGTACAGTCAAAATCCTAATCCAAAATGCTAGTATCTCTCTCCTGGATTGTTATGAAAAGTTTGTAACTCTTTCAGCTAAAATGTTGCCTTCTATAATATGAAAAAGCACTGGGTGGAAAGCTTTAGTCCTTAAATCTGTGAGGGAAGAATAGTAAACTCTTGTTTCCAAAGTGACTGTAGAAATGTTATAGAATGCAGGTCCATGTGCCCACACACAGTGAGGTCAAAGAATATTAAAACATCAAGAGTTTGGCGCATAGAATGGTTTATTGTAGGGCCATGCCTTAAGAACTCCTTAATGCCCCCAAAGCTTTCAACAAATCCCTTTAATAGGAAAGGTGAGGGAGGGTGTGTTAGTTGTTACAAGCTTGTTAGTGGCAGATCCTTTGTTCCTGAGGTCTGGTCCATAGCTCAAGGTGTTCCCCATAAACCTTCACCAAAATAAATGTTATTCTCAGTTCAGACAAGAAAAGGCAAGATCCCAAAGCTCAACTTTCACTCTCTGAGGTCCAGGCTTGGCTAAAAGCAGGGTGATCCTTGCAGAGGCCAATAACTGCCTGACGCGCTTGTCCTGCACCCAGTCTGGGTCCTCCTGCAGGGCCCAGGCCCAGTTGAGGAGGCAGATCTTAGCTGACAGGCACCCTCTTGGCTAAGTCCCTGGTCCCTGCCCAGCTGGGAACCCAGGACCCAACTGGCTCTCAGGCTTCTCATTAAAAGTTGGAGAGAATCATTTGTTTAGGATCGACAGGAATATGTGCTGTAGCAATTACCAATCATGTGAATTCCTAGCTCCAACAATTGCCCTTCTTTGAAAAGAGACCCAACCACAGCAGTGGAACTGAAGTAGATGCTCCATGTCTGTGCAAATTATCCCTGACCTCTGGCCACTTCCTCAGGATAGACAACTGATCTAAGCCGGACCAGTTTCTGAAACTTGAACAGAGAGACTGAAGCTGGTTGAAGTTGTTACCTGAGTGGCAGATTTCCCGTTTACTCCAGTTGCTGAGGCCTCCTTGAACTGCCAGGCATGGAGACCACAGTTCCAGAGGTGGGGATGAAGAGGTTCACGGCTCCTTTAAGGCCTGGGCCTGGCCAGTTAGGAAGCCATGCGAGGCTTCTGGGGCTCTACAGGACAGCCCTCATGGCCTGTCCCCAGACACGGCCCCGGGACTGCTTCGCACCCCACTCTGCCACGATGGGCACTGGGGGGTGACCACAGGCAGAAAGGGACCTTATAACTGCTGTTCTCAGGGTCTCCCAATAATGGTGGCGATGCTAAGGATTGGGTGCTATAGGCTGCATGCCCGCTCCACCCCTATTATAGAGATGCTAATTATTCAAATACACAACAGAAACATTTACCCACATGACACATTATCATTAATAAACACCACCCCCTGTCTGGTTAAGAATAAGAGGTTTGCGAATAAGCAGACAAAAAGGTGAATAACAAGCACTAGTTCCATTCTGCTACATTTTCTGCTTTATATCTGACCTTTCAAAAAACCAGAGTATCCAGTTTTACGTTTCTCATTCAGCCTTTCCCAGATTCTTCTGGGGTCATCTGAAAGCCTGGGAAGGCTCTGGTGTGCTTCTCTGATGAGGGTGAGGAAGTCTTTCGTATAAAGATGTTCATCTATTTTCTCTTGGAGTAGAAGTGACTCCAGTAAAGTCTTCTTCTGTCTCAGGAAGGCAGCTTGGGCCAGTTCTGCCCTTTTTCTGATACAGTCGGGACACCGAGAAGAAATGTGTTGCTTAGCTGTTCCCACCTGTTTGGATGTTGTCCTCATGTTTTTAAAATAGATTCTATTCAAAAGCTCGTCAGGGACTATACACTTTAAGGCTTCTACCTCTGGAGCCTTGGCCTCGGGTCCAAGCTTCAGCTTTTTGTGTCTGCTGCTCTTTTTCCCCTTAGAGTTCGCTCTGTGGTGGATCAGGTTTACCTTAACGGTGCAGAAAGACTGCAGGGCATTCAATTCTTCAAGGGATACCTGAGTGATGTCTGTTTGATGTTTAGTGTCTGGTCGGTACTGTTCAGAGTTCGTTTCCTTGCCCTTGAGGTTCTGGATCCATTTTCTGCTCAATTTCTTTACATTCGCTTTGAAGTCTGAAAGCTCAGATTGGTTGTCTCCATATTCCGAGCGTGAAGGCAGCGATCCACTCTCAGACTCGCTCCCAGGGTTGTAAGACCAGGGCTGCAGTCCTCCTGAGGAACTGAATGAACCGGAACTCTTTACCTCATCAGTCAAGGCCTCCAAGGTCTCAGAAAAGTCTGCCATATTCCCGGTGTCCGCTGGGGCCAATTCCCCCCGTTTCTCTGAATCCTCCGGCTTCTAGGCGGGTGGCCATCACACTGCATCAGGCTCTGCGCTTCATCTGCTTTGCCGTGGTCAAGACTGCCTCAGGAACTGGTCAGTCCCGAGACCCTCGGGGATGAGTTTTAGGAGCCGGCAGCTCCTTCAGGGAAGCTCTTCCGGGCGACTCCGTCCCGCTGCCTAGGCAACCAGAGGCGGTCATGCGCAGAGGGTCGCTGGGGCGCCGCGCTCCCCCGCGCTCCTCGGAGCCGACCCCGCCAGCACAGTTCGTGTAGGTTTTCGGAGCCTCCCCCTCCGCTGGCTCTGCCGAGTCTCCGCCTCCTCGGTGCTATTTTAGTACAAAATCCATTAACGATCGAGAAAAGGTTGCACACTCTCCTTCCCCAGGGGTCAAAAAAGTATACACGCCTCTTTCCCAACAGGAATAGATGGCCTCTGACTAATCCGATAATGCACACGCCGGCTGAATGCATCCAAAAAAACCAAACAAAAAAAAAAGCCCCAAACAAACAAAAACACACCTCCTCCTGCTGGCCAGAAAAACACAAACAGAAACGTATCTGCCAATCAGATAGCTAAGAGCTCATCTAATCGCAGAGCACATCTTTGGATGAAAATCTAAATACTGAAACCAGCCTGTGAGACTCCTACGTGGCCGGGCTCCGACTCGACCGTTTGCTCCGGCCTCGTCTTGCCCAGCTTTTTGTGCTCCGGCATTTTTGGACGACCTTGCAGTTTTCCCAGATCTCAGTTTCTCAGGCCTTTGTTTCGGCAGAGCTCCTCTGATTGGCATTTCAACTGCTACTCTTCCCGCTTCGTTAATCCTCTTTCAAGTCCACCCTCCCCTCCTTTTTTTTTTTTTTTTTTTTTAAACATGTTAATACTCAGTATGACGTACTGATCTGGTGCACAATTTTCTTTGTCCCCCTGGTGTGACCTGTTNAGTGTTAGTCGCTCAGTCTGCCTGACTCTTTGCAACCCCATGGACTGTAGCCCACCAGGCTCTTCTGTCCATGGGATTCTCCAGGCAAAAATACTGGAGTGGGTTGCCATGCCATCCTCCAGGGGATCTTCCCAACCCAGGGACTGAACCCAAGACTCTCTCTTTCTTTGCATATGAGCATGGTCAGTGATACACATGTGAAAACAAAATCTCAGAGCAGTCCATAAGCAGTACTGGCAAGAAATATATATATTCTGAATTCTTAACAGAATTGTGAATAAGTATGTTATCTTTAATCTTTTTCCTTAGATGTTTCAAGTGAGAGCAAAAAATAAAAAGTAAAAAAAAAAAATTTTAAGAACAGGAATATATAAAGAAGAAAAGGGAGGGAGAGTTGCAACTTTCCATCTTATCTAAAATCTTTTCACTATCCCAATGGATACAAGTCACTCCTACACTCACTCTACTGAAAGCAGATTTTATCAAGCTTTTCAGGGGGAAAAAAAAAAACAAAGTATGTCATTAAAAATTTTTTGTGTGTGTTTTTATCAGGAAAAGAAACATCGAGGAATTAACAGGAAACATTTATAGCTAGCCCAGAAAATTCATAGAAACAGTTCAGTGTTTCAGTAACTGTTATATAATTACTTCTTTATTTATCAAATATCTGTGAAGTTCAGAATAGTTTTTGCAAAAACTGAAATTAACTAAAACTAAAAAAAAAAAATGGCTATCAGTATTCAAATATGCCAAGAGCATGCTACATTTTAACTTTCTGTTTTAATGTCATCTTCTTTACAAGTTCTCACTCATTTTGATAGCTATGAAAAAGTATTAACCTGATAATTAGAGATGTCCCGATAGTCTCATATCAGTCAGTCTCATTTTGGCAAATCTTCAGGCAATGTTAATACCACTTCTAACAGAGCCGTTTCTTCTTTCACACTCCTTCCTTCCTTCACTTTCTGCCTTCCCACAACGGTGCTTTGCAGAGGGAAAATCCTTATTATCTTTGGGACATTTGGTGTAGGGGGCCCTAACTTTCTGCCAGTCTCTTTGTTGGTCGCCACCACAAATTGCAGGTCATACTTGGATGTGTGTTGTTTCCCACCAACGCACAGTTATTCTGGTCCCTTCCAGTATCCTGACAAAATCCTAGGCTACTGGACCTTGTCAAACCCTCTCCCGGCTATCTTGCCTGCATCCTGACACCCACAGGTACTCAGTTTCTTTCAAAAACTTCTGAGAAGTGGTGGAGAAAAGGGAGAATGTTTTCCGGGCGACACAGCATAGCCTAAAGCCGTTGCAACCCCCTCATCACTCAGACAACTTCCTGTGGCAAGTCCTCCTCCAGAAATCTCAAGCATCTTCACATCTCTTAGGGGCTAATTGTAACACTGGGTCCTTTAGAAACCACATTGTGACTGAAAGTTGCCTGAGGTGGAGGTGGAAAGTCATAAGAGGGAAGGAGACAAATCAGGTGCTCAGGGCCGATTTATGCCCCGGCACTATTTTTATTATCTTGTTGTCACGTCTCTTCCCTCATAGTCCTGAAGGAGAGCAAAAGCTCTCCTTCCAGCTTTTCCTGAACAATCAAATATGCTTTGCAGCTACGGGACTTAACCCCAGAGACAGGAGGTCAAAACATGTTCGTCTTCCTGTCAGATTCTTTCTCTCTCTCAAGTCTCTTTCCTTGGAGGCAGAAGGGCAAGCCTTCAGCATCTTCCTGTCAGGCAAGCACTTCTCCTCCAAGGAATCTCAGCGGCCTCCTCGCCAAGGTGGCATTCTGTATCCTTTCCAGGAACCACTGGGGCAGACCCGGGGTACCAAGAGGGAATCTGGTTTGTGAATAAGAGAAATTAAGTGGACAGATCCTTTACAAGCAGTCTGCCCTCTGCGTAAACTTCACAACACTGTGCTTGGTTCTGTGATCAAGCAAAATGAAAAATTACTTCCTCTCCTAAGGGGTTAGGTTGAATGTATCAGAAATCTCATTGTGAGAAACCATTTTTGTGGAGAAAGGAATCTTACATCATTCGTGATAAAAAATGACTTCAATTTACAGTGCGGTGGCTGTTTTTCATATGTGAAAAATGTTTTACCAGACAAATATCTCAATCTTTACATTATTTTTTTCTATGTCTTCAGTGTTATTATTTTTCTGAAATTGATGAATTGCTTGAAGAAGAACTCTCTTTTACTTTAATAGCTATTATACTTTGCAAAGATAACATATGTTGATTGTCAGTAGTTTAAAAGATAAAGATAAACTACTAATATCCCCAGTGGCTCAGTGGTAAAGAATTTGCCTGCCTATGATGGAGACACAGGAGATGCGGGTTCGATCCCTGAGTCGGGAAGATCCCTGGGAGGAGGAAATGGCAACCCACTCCAGTATTCCTGCCTGGGAAATCCCATGGACAGAGGAGCCTGGCAGACTACAGTCCTTAGGGTTGCAAAGAGTTGGACACAACTTTATCACTAAACAACGAATTAAATATATGTTGCCTGGATTCTGACCTCCCTGAAATAGTCACTAAAAATACTTGCAGAATATCTTAATATTTTCCCTCGAAGAATTTTTTTCTTAATAAAATCTAAATTATATTGGATTACGGTTTTATGAATTCTTCCTTAGCAATAATATGAACACTTTTTCGTTCAATTTATAAAAATTATTTTTCAACATAATTTTAAAGGTGGTATTGCATTATTTGATTTATTTAACTAATATAGTTATTTAAACACAAGGCATTTCCATGTTTTTGCCCCTAAAAACTTCTGGAATAAGTATTTCTCTAGCTAAATCTTTATACACATTCATAACTATATATTTAGGATAAATTCTAGAAATTGTAATTGAAAGGTCAAAATGTATGTATAATGTTAAGGCTTTTGAGATCTCTAACCCCCTCCCTCCTACAGTATTTAAAAATCCAAGATATAATATTATTTTGTCTGTAATACCTGAGTTTGTATCTCTAGTAGGTAAGGCCTTTTTAAAAACATAACCACATTATTCTGATTACCACATTGAAAACATAACATTATAATAATTCCTTCATATCACCTAATAATTATGCTGTATTTATATTTTTCTGGTTGTTTCAAAAATCTGTTTTGGCAATTGCAGTTTTTTGAATCAAAATCCAAACAAGGTCCATTCACTGCATTTGGCTTACCTGGTTCTCATATCTCGTACTCCACATCACTTACAATGTAAAACAATTAAAAAAACTGAAAAGAGAAAAATGGAGCAGGCAGAACTTTCTTCTGTTTACTGTAATGTTTCCTATATCATTATTTTAACATTTCTGATGTATCCTTTTGATGTATCCTTTATTTTTTAAAATCAATATATATTTGAATCCCCTTTCTTGTGAAAAAAAAATATATTCAGCATATTCTACACATTGGTCCACATCTTTTTTGTTCTTTTTCCCCTTAAAAATATATTCTGGATATTGCTTTACATCATCCTATAGGTATCTTCCTCATTTCTCTCTATGGCTGCATGGTATTCCATTGTGGGAATGTTTTTCCCACAGTTACTTCCACATGTTGATGGACTTTCTGTGATTATAAAAAAATTCAATTTTTCTGTGCACTTTTGGAGGTGTAACTCCAGCAAGACTTTTAGTAGTCAGATTACTGGATCCAAGAATCAATGTATATGTAGTTTCTTTGAGTATTTCCAAATTTCCCATTATAAGGAGTATACATTTTTCATTCCTGCCAGCAAACTGCATGAGAGTGGCTATTCTCGAGAGCCTGGCCAACAGGAGTTGCACTTAAATTTAAATTTTTGTGATTCTAAAGGAAGAGAAATGGTATTGCAGTGTAATTTTACATTGAATTCCTCTTATTTTAAGTGAAATTAAACACTTTTCATGTGTATAAGGGACATCTACATTTATTCTTATGTGTACTGTCTATTCATTTATTTTACCCATTTTCCATAAGATTCTTGTTTTATCCTTCTCAATTCTTGAAAACCACTTAAAAATCAAAATATTATTATTCATTTTTCTGTGACATAAGCTCTAAATGATTTCCCCAGTTTTTCTTTTTACTTGCTTATGCTGTTTTCCATGCAAAACTTTTTATTTCATAGACCAAATTTATCAATAATTTTCCTTATTCTTCTTGGATTATTAGTCACACTTAGAAAAATCTCCTATGCCCATGTTATAAAGAAATTTACTCATGTTTCCTTATAGTACTTGTGATTCTTTTTATTCCCTTGCTTTATAACTCTGATTTTTTTATGGTTACTTCTCTAGTACAGTATGAAGAATGAGTTTAATTTTATATTCTTCCATATGGCTAGTCAGTGAGCCTAACAATATTTTATATCCTTTAGGTGCTGCCTTTTGTCATAAATTCCCATATGCACTTAGTCTTTTTTTTTTTTCTTGACTTTCAAGTCTAGTACCTTGGTCTGTTTTTCTATTCACACATGAATATCATAGAGTTTTAAAGGGCTTTATAATGTTTTAGGGCTTCCCAGGTGGCTCAGTGGTAAAGAATCCACCTGCCAATGCAGGAACCACAGGAGATGTGGGTTCCATCCCTGGGTCAGGGAGATTCCCTGGAGAAGAAAATGACCATCCACTCCAGTATTCTTTCCTGGAGAATTCCATGGACAGAGGATCCTGGTGGGCTATAGTCCATGGGGTCACAGAAGAGTTGGACATGACTGAGCATACATGCATAATATTTTAATTCTTATTTGGCCAGACTCCTCTCATCCATTTCAACAACTTTTTGGATGTTCTTGTTTATTATTCCAGATGAACTTTGTAACCAACTTGTCTTGATCTAGGATAAAAGTAAAA